CTTCGAGTTCGGGTCAAATTTGTGGTCCTCTTCATAATGGACTCATTGGACGTATGGTTTGTGTGGCTCTCAATGCCATCGGATCTGGTTTTGGCCGAAGAGCTGATTGTGGAGGCCGTGAGTCTTGAGGACGGATTCGGTGCACCAAATGGACGATTGATTGGCATTTTTGGTCACAATTATTGCTACAAATTTGATGAATGAATGAAGTGTTTGGTTAACAGTAATGACTGAATGAGACAATGAATTGTGTGTTAAAAAACAGTTCAAACGATAATAAAAAGCAATGTTTTTGTTGTGAAATGAGTTGTGTTTGAAGTGAAATGCGAGACAAGAGTGGAGTGAGTGTTGACTACAAAACGTTTGTCTGTTTTGCGCTTAAACTCATGTTTCGCTCAATACATGCGAACCACTCATGCGTTACTCCATTCACACACTCTCTCCGCACTATTGGGGGGCCTTTAGGGGGGTTTTGGGGGCAACTTTTGGGCCACTTTTACGCACTATTCCCTGCGCTTACCATTCAATACATACACTGTTTTATTTAAATATATAGTTATTTATTAATATAATTAAATTAGTTGTTTATTTATAATACATTTGCATAAAATTAAAATCACTTAAAACTTTAATACTGGTTGTATTGAGGGATTGTAATGCATTGAATAGTAATTACAGTACTATAAACATATATTTAATATACTTTTAAACTAATTTAATAGCTTTGTTTACGTATATAAAAACTTAATGTAAGTTCATAATTTATTAACATACTAATAATACATTAATACATAGATTTTAAACAAGTATGACGTCTATATACACAATATAACAGCTAAACAACTACTCCTCGCAAACGACTTTCCCATTGCATTCATTGCTAAACTATTTCCACAACTTTTACCTTATCTTACGTTAAGTTAAAACAAGACACGAGAACTTCAATTATATTTAATTGAAAAACATTTTTGATAATTATTTCCAATTAGAAGTGGTTTAAAGCAAAATATGTTTTGAGCGAAACAAATAAATGGTGTATTTCTTGTTCATTCAATTCCTGTATATAAAAAATTCATAATTAAATTACTATTTTATTTGTGTTAAATTGTAATTAGTTTTGAAGTGTAGTATTTTTTCAATAAACTCAATGACATCATTATTCAAGAAATGTTTTGTACATTTAATATAAGCTTTAATTTCAAATGTAATCAAAGAAGTTCCCAAAACTTTTTTATTGTTGATTTCGTATTTTTGTTTTGTTTTTTATTTATGATAATTGAAAAAAGTGTTAAATTAATTGTATTTCTTGTAATTTTGAGTGTATATGATATCCAAATACATAACAATATAACATATATTTTGGTTTTATTCTAGATTTTTGTTTTAAGTTGAATACATTTGACTACAAAATAATCAACAAAAAAATTTAATTCCCATAAAAACTTTTTTTTTCGTTGAATAAGGATTTTAAAATAATGAGTGACTCTTTTTCAGGTCATTTGGAAATACATTTTGAATGAAAGTTTTTTGCTTCAATAAAACTATTCTAATCACTTATTATATATGAATTTTGTGGCTATATATCAACCATTCAAACAGGTATTATAATCAATAGCATTATTATTATATAAGTAGTAATATTATTACAGCTGAAAAAACTCACATTGTCAGATTACAAGTTAATGAAATAACTTATAAATATGTGCTTAAAACACAACAACCACTGGCTTTTATTCTCTTGTTATATAATCATGAAATGTATTTTTACCTTTCATTCAAACACTGGAACAGAACTACAGGTTTTTTGAATTAGAGCTTAAGATATAATAAAGACAACTTTAAACCAAAGCCTACAAACATATATTTATAATAAACATACACTTTATTATTAAACAATTTTATTTAAAGATTTTTTTAAAATAAGAATAAAATAGTTTAACAATAAATACAATAACAAATGAATTGAATTTTATTATTAGATTTTTGTGAAAACTATTGATTTACCGGAACTCAGAGAAGCGGTTGTCTTCTGATCAGAACCACTATCTGAGCGGAAGGTCTCTTCGGCATTAACCCAATTGCGTTCCGCACAACTGATATTCAATTTGTCTAACACTTGATTCGCTATATTGGGAACAATTGGCTGAAGAAGAATGGCAGACACTCTGAGGGCTTCTAAAGTGATGCAAAGAACTGATTGCAATCGCATTTTAAGTAACAGGACAAACCGGTTTTCGGTCCCAAACCAAAGCAATTTTTTATACAATAAGTAAGCGTTTGTTAGGTACTATAGTAACTATTGATTTACTTTTAAAGGCAAGTTTATCACTAAAAGACAATTTTGTGCTAAATTTTGTATCATTTCAATGAGTTTTGAGGATTCGTTTTCAACAATCAAGAGATCATTTAAAGATAAATTGGGAAACATTTGACTCTTATTAATGGCTTTAGCTGTGCATCGACTCAACAAATTTCCCAAATTGTCGGCCAATTCTGCGTTTAAATATTTCTTCACATTAAGTTCTGTGAAATCTATGACAAGAATTCATTACAATTAGTAAATTTCAATCAAAACAATTATATATAAGTTCTGACTCGAATCGGTGTGAAGAGATCCCTGTCGTAGTAGAAAATACCGGAACCCATCGCTGGTATAGTCTTTAACACACTGGAAGGGGTCGACAACATTGCCTTTACTTTTACTCATTTTAATGTCATCTCTGAGCCAATGGGAGTGACATAAGAGAGAGTGCGGCGGTTCGAGACCGGCGGCCATCAAGAATGCCGGCCAATATATACCGTGAAATTTAAGGATATCTTTGCCAATCACCTGACAATCTGGTGGCCAAATGTGATTCTTATCGCCGGGATATCCGGAAACAGTTAAATAATTGATGAGTGCGTCAAACCAGACGTATATCTTATAAATCAGATTTATAATTAATTAGAGACTAAAATTCAAATTACTAAACAAACGCACGACTTGTTCCGAATCGTTGGGCACTTCTATACCCCAATTGACGCGTCCTTTAGGTCTGGACACAGATATGTCTCGCAATCCTTTCTCGACCTCATGTCTTAAGATATGAGCGAATACTGAGGGCTGAACAGTGTCTCCGCTGTTAATCCAATCAACAATTTTATCCTTAAATTGACTCAATTTGAAAATATAGTTCTCTTCTGCAGACCATTCGACAGCATTTCCAGACTCTGTCGAAACCCTAATATTGTTTTCATTGATAAACGTTTGCGTTTCGGTGACAAACGTCTCGTCGGACACACAATACCAGCCCTCGTAAGAGGACTTATATATAAACCCATTGTTGACAAGAGTTGTCCAAAAGGTTTGAACGGAATTTCGGTGCAAATCATCGGTAGTTCTGATGAAATGAGTGAAACCAATGTCTGAAGACTCGAATAGACTCCTAAACTGTTGTGATATTTGATCGCAAAATAATTTGGTCTCAATTCCTCTCAATTGAGCCGCTCTTTGAATCTAAACTTAAAATGAGTGAAATTGTCATCAAATTGAATGCAATAAGCGGTCAAATACTTTGATCCCGTATTCATCGGTTCCGGTCGAGAATCTTGTATTAGTTTTGCCACAAATTCGGTGAAATCGATGAAAAGTGTCGGCAATTATAGCGGAATACAAGTGTCCGATGTGTGGCACTAATGGACAGATCAGTCATCAGTGGTTAATCTGCCGTCAAATCAATCAAACAAATCAATCGATACCTGAATTGACGTAAAATATTGGAGTTGTTATGAAATATGTGTTTTGTTTGTCGTTTGAAAGCAATGAATATCTTCTCAATTGAATAAAATTCACGCATTGTTTGCATTTAAAACAAATCAATCGATACCTGAATTGACGTAAAATATTGGAGTTGTTATGAAATATGTGTTTTGTTTGTCGTTTGAAAGCAATGAATATCTTCTCAATTGAATAAAATTCACGCATTGTTTGCATTTCAATACATTTAATGCATTGCTTTGAATACAAATGGCATTTAATTTCAGTAATTTGTTAAACATTTTATGAAATATTAAATTAGTTAACAAACAGTGAAATGAATTTTCAAAGTTTATATCGTTTACTGAAAACACAAACCCATAAACAGATGTCAGCACTCAATACAACTCAACATTCACTTCATTTTTTACAATTCCATTGAATTTCAAACTAAAAAAGTTTTTATTCTTGAAATTCTAATAAAAATCCAATTATTGCATGTTTTGTTTGACAATACTTTTAATATTTTAAATTATTTAGTGTTTACTTCTGTCTCCAAATTGAGTCGATTTTTTTCTAATAATTAGATAATACACTTTTACTAAAAGTTAAACTTGGTTTGAATTGGTTTCATAGTCAACATAAAAGCATATTATTTCTTATTGTTTGGGTAAATGTTGTGAACTAAAAATCGTAAGTTCGGGTTAGACTTGAAAAAGGATTTACTGTTACTCTCACAGGCATTCCCTTTCCCTCTGAGGGGAAAAGAAGAAAAAGGAATTGAAATGCACTGAGAAATCCACTCATTTTTGAGTCCAATTAATTTTGAGCGAAAATCAGTGCAAAATAGTGATTCCCGGGATTCCCTCTTCCCTGTAGAGGGTCGGGACGGAACGGAAAATGATTATTGAAAATTGTTCCATGTAGAACTTCGGGTTAGAGTATAAGTTACATTTATATAGCGATGTTTGGTACATATTAATTGTAAACATTTTGATTTGAATTGATTTCAATGATTGATGTGTGAAAATATAGTTAAGAAGTCTGATAGCAATACTCAAATGAAATATTCACTGCAAATATGTTGAACAAAATTATAAGTACCGTAAATAGTATGGTTACTATAGCTGACTGCTGTTACCTTAGCATAGCTGCGCTCGTATTTAATCAATTGTTTAATACTGAAAATTCAATTCTTTATATTTTATATAAAATTGTGGTTAACTTGTTTGCAACGATCCCATAGACAAGGAACAGGTGCTCTTCAACAATAATTTGTGTCCATTTTATACAACGAAAGCCATATCTCAACCTCACGTCTCTTTTCCTCAACTTTTTAATCAATTCAAACATATCTATAATCTAAGCGTTAGATTCTTAGGGATGGGCTCTAAGTAATGGCTATTTGTTTTTGTATTTCATAGAGCTATCGATGACCTGAGTCTCCCATTTCTTCCTTTTGTTCTCAACAAAAGATTTGGGAATAATTGTGGAGTTCTTTTGATGGCTTCAAATGTATGCATACCTTTAATATGCATTTGTTTGCAACTAATTATATATTTTATTCATTATGCAAATAAATACAAGATATTAATTCCATAAAATTATAGTTCAATTCTGTAAAGTTGTGATTAAATTTCATAACAATATTCATTAAATGAACATTTCATTAGAAATGATGGCAAATAAAAGGATGTGTAATAACTTAAGAGTGAAATATAGTAAATGAGGGAAATATTAATGTTAGGGATGGGATGTGTTGAGTGAAGTGAAGGGAAGTGGTTAGCAATGGTTAGCAGTGTTATGGACAGTGGGCTGAGGGCTGTTAGCAGTGGAGTGAATGAACAGTAGTGGTTGTGGTAATGGATGTAATGGTTGTGATGGTATGTATAGCAGGTATGGGTGTATTGAGGGGAGAGATGCCATCGATGTGTTGCCAACTCTATTGCAAACAACAAGTGAAGCATTCAATCCATTCGTAACGCCTATTCATATGTAAGGCTAATAGCAATGCATTCTTATGTGTAAATCATTGTTTGTCTTCACTTCACTTCACTTCTCACTACAACCACAACACAAACCAAATGTTTTGATCAACATTTCAATAATCATAATATGAATGCAATTAATCAATTCATCCCATTATTACAACTAGTTTTACATTCAATATGACTTAATTGTTACTCATTTTATTAATTAGTTGTTATTTTACCCGAAATATTGTCAAACATGTAATCAAATTGAATCTATGCTTAATTTATATGTGATTTAATAGTAAATTAATTTAATGTAAAATATGTTTAATAAAAAGACAATTAGTTTGTGTGCAAAACTATTTTGTCAAATAATTGCAATAATAATGACATTTAGTGTGGATTTGAGTGAAAATAAACTGAATTTATACGTGAATAAAGAAGAGGTCCAAACACTTCTCGGTATGTCTTATGCACTCATTTCTGTCCAATTTGTCAATCAATTTACAAATTGTATAATATTTTTGCTAAACTTAAACGCATTCAAACTCCTCTGCAATTTACCGACAAATATACTCTCAATAATTGCATATAATTTACTCAAAGTTGTCATAATGTCTACAATTGATCACTCAATTGATAAAATAGTTTTTATCTATCAATTAATTAATTGAAATGCAAATTCAATTCTCATTTATTAGTGAATATTTGGTAACAAAAATCTATAATATCATAAATTGTTGGCATTATTATAATGTAATAAATCCATAAATTAAACAATTGTTTGCATTTAAATTATGCAAACATTTGTCCGCAAAACTTACCGATATGTTTGACTTTTTTATGATGTTTGTCTCTCGAGTATTTGACAGCAATTTATTGCTTTCAAAGTGTATTCATAACACTATATGAAAGTAAAAATCAATTATTCATTGCTTTGAATCGATTGAATGTAAAAACCAAATAATTATTACTTTTTATTAACTTTTCATAAATAGTATTGCATTTAAAGTTTAAAAATACTTTTTACACAAAATATAACTTTTTATAAATTAGTTTAAAATAATTTGCGATAAAAATTGGATGCAATGAATGATTTGATCCAATGATCAGTCGTTATGCGAGTACTTATTGCTGTGAAGC